GCATGTTTTGTGCCGTTGATCGTCGTCGTCATCCTTAATAAATAAAACATTTATTCATGCTTGGGTGTCGGCTGTGAATCCAGTGGAGAGAAATCCCCCACCACTAACTGCAAACTGGCATTCAGATCTGCCTCCATTTTGTTAGCAACGCCCCAGCTTCCAACGATCCAATCAATTCCCGAAGGACAAAATCAAGTCCCGCCCTCTCATTTCAGATGCCGTTTCACTCGGATATACGTCACAGTAGAGAAGAAAAGACAATCGCAACTTCCGTTTCATGCCGACTTTAAACTTTATTGGTTACTTTGGGAAATTTTAGAAACAATTTTTACTAACTTGAATTCAAATTGTTCACAGTTCAAAATGTAAACAATAGCAATGACTTCATCACTACACTTGTATTATCAATTGCCACTGGTCTTCCTTCTCGCATTCATTTGTATACTGAATTGTGATTGCTCTTTTGTTTCTTACATCTTCATCTCTACACACTGCAAAATGGTGTTGAGCTGATACTCAGGTGCCACAGAGAGAAAACAAAGCATGTGACAGCTGCAACACTTCCCTGATGCAGAATATAATTTATGCAAAACCACAGCCTAAAACTGCTTACCTAAACTTTAACATGTTTCTTTTGCTGTCTCGCAAACACTGCTGTTTTTTTTTCTTTTTTTTTTTTTCTGGAAATGCAAATCTAGTTGGCAAATAATGCTTTGTCCTTCAATGGTTTGGAAAACACTGTTTCCACTCTGATACAGACCATGACGCCTTTCACTATTTCTACACAAGGGAGTAACAGTGCAGATATCTCCAAGTATCGAACATTTACATAATTAACACATTATATGAAAATTAACAATAATTATGTCAGAAACAGGATAAGCAAGTAGGCAAGGCTGTAAAAATATGGTTTCCAAGCACATGAAAACATGAGCAATTCTATGGCTGTGGCACTTATTACATTTTTTTTCTTCTCAAACATTCACACAAATGTTTGGATGAAAGCCCAGCATGCGCAATATTCACACTTGCAATAGCAACAACATTACGGCAACATTACACTCTCTTTGATGCCAAGGTAAGCCAAAGGGCAAGGCTGAATTATTCAGTTTGAGACAATTCTCTGCACATGACAAACATTCCACTGTTTCTAAAGTCTACAGGGCACTACAGACTATCTTGTCTTCTTATTCTGGTGCGTTACACATTAAATCATTGGTGTATCGATCCTTAAAGCATCAAGCAATGCTTCTCATATAGCTGAATTGAAAAGCTCTCACAGAAGACTATGACTTCAAATTTGAGACTAGTGTTCCAGGACTATGTAAATCAGACGCATGTGTAACACAGTGGGCAAATCTCAAAAGGGTTATTTCACGAATCGCTAACTCTCTTATGAAAACATCGAAAAAGGAATAATTTAGGAGGAGGACAATGTTGAGCCGAATCCGCGCTGGAGGGAACTTTGCAGTACAAGGTAACTTGGAATATGAGGCTGTTCAAGTTATGCCTCATTAAGAAGCAAAAGCAGCAAGATTTTTTGTTCAAGTGTGACCTTCGGAAAGCACAGAGAGGGTGCGCTGTCATGTATCGAGGCGTACATTTCTACCTTGGTGTGCTCAGGAGAGGTCAACTACCTGTAGGAGTGTGGGTTGTATCACTATGCTGGTCCTTTTCTCTGAGCGGCTTCTGAATAAACAATTGAATACATTTTCTTGAGAAAGAACATACAAATAATAACTAGCAAGTGTCACATAGTCAGCATGCAAAAGAGGAAACAGAGTGCACAAGAGAAAACCAACTGTGCTGTTTCTCCTGAGTTGAGTGTGAAGATATGTTTTTCAGACTGCCATAACAGTTGGGTCAAAAAAAAAAAAGCTCTTGTTGTTTCAAATGACAAAGTGAAGAAAACAGTTTCATAAGTGTCTCTGAGTGCAAAGTAAGTGACATACTTGTGCTATATGTTTATATATACTTGTTAAAGGGGTCATATGATGCTTTTTTAAAGATCATTATTTTGTGTATTTGGTGTAACAGAATATGTTGACATGCTTTAATGTTCAAAAAACACATTATTTTTCAAATACTGTACATTATTGTAGGTCCTATATGCCCCGCCTCTCTCAAACTCATTACTTTTCCATTTAAGGTTTTTTTTATGTGAAAGTTGTGTTAGACTTATACTGACACCTACTGGTGTGGATGAAGCATCATGCAACAGAAAACATTATTAGCTTTCAGACATGCTTAATTTATTTCACAAATGAAAGAGTCCAATAACAGGATGGTTTCTGATATCAAATGAGTAGTATTCAGATGGTCATATGACCTCAACATGGCAGCCACCATGATGTAACCAGTACCTTGTAAAATAAAACAGCTTTTATTAAGCTACTAATGTGTCTGGAGTCGTCATCTTATGTACATTGTACTACGTTTTTACCTACTCATCACTACTCTCAACTTTTTAATGAGGAAAAAAATAGCTGACGGCACCTTTAAAAGTGCGTTACTAATATTTTGCTTGTAAGTAATGTTTATAATAGGGCTGTCAATCGATTACAATTTTTTATCTGATTAATCACATTCTTTTTCTGTGATTAATCGCGATTAATCGCACACTTCATGAAATTAAGCATAGACCATTTATCTTGTTTCAAATGTTTATTTTGTCATCATTTGCTATATCCAGCAAAGTAAACCAAAAGATTGAAGGGTGATTCTCAAAAATCTATATTTTCTGCAAGCTTTTTTCAAGATAAATTTAGATGTCTTTCCAAAAAAGGACACTTAGAAACTCCAAAAGGACACCAAAGAACCAAATGATATAAGGAGCCCATATAAGCACATATGAAAGAAAAAAAAAATCAGAATTTTATAGTATGTGTACAGTGCAACATCAAAGAGCTTTTTTACATTTTAGAGAAGTCAAGTTGCGATACCGAACAGGACCACATGGAGATGCCAAAAAAACCCTAAACCAACCGCCTGCTGACTGCATATATCTACTACAGTACACAAATCCATTCAGTATAACTAAACACAGCAACATAAACATGACAAATCAAAACATTATCGTGAATGTACGGAAATGTCTGTGCCTGTGCATAAATACAATGCGATCAGTGCGTCAAGAGTACTCATACATGCATTATTATAATGGACTCACGTGTGCTTACTGTACGACTCCTGTACACCACCGCAATCGTCTTTACCTTGATTGCAGTCTTCATCCATCAAAACTTTACTAGCGAGACTGGTAATCCAGTCGAGAAAACGTAGTTTGCGTCTCATCTGGCCATACAGCGGTGGGATGTGTTGACAATCCGTTCAGTCTGTACTTCACACAGCGCAACGTGTGAGGGCTTGCGCTCTTCAGAGACAATCACAGAATATGACAGAGCTCGTGTTTAAAAGCGAAACACACTGGAATGAATAATTCACTGAAATCTCTGAATCTCTGATGTAATCAGCCTGGTTTCCTTTATATTAGCGCTGTTTTGGATGGATTGTTTGAATGCATTCGCTTACTGGATCATTGGACTGAAAACTTTCCCGGAGTTTAGTGGCTTAAAATGATCTAATCGCAAGCAGAGTAGCAAAATTGGGTTAAAGGGTTAGAATAGAAATTGTGCTTCAGTAATTTTGTGTTAATTGCGTTAAATTATTTTAACTCGTTAAGGATTGTAAAATTAATCGCATGCGTTAACGTGTTAACAA